TCCTCCAAATAGAAAGTTGTTGTTGCAAACATCTTTTAACAACCGATCGATTGCATTTAAAGCGTGTTTGGGAATCATGGATGTCTCGTGAAGCATAATCAAACTAACTTGTCTTAAAAATTGTCCCTGAATAGAGTTAGGAGTCACATTACATGTGCTGTTATCCAGTATTGGGATAGGAAGTTTAAATAAGCCGTGCAGCATAGATCTATTTGTAAGAAGAGTTGCTGCTATGCCAGTCCATGCAGCTGTAGCAGATTTAACACCCCTACTGCTCGTTTCAGCAATCAAATAATTATATGTAAAAGTTTTGCCACTACTGGCTGGTCCATCCATAAAAAATAATCTGGAATGTTGATTTTCTACACTTGGTTGCTTGTTCAATGCAGCAAGGACAGCATTACTTATATTTAATTGATTGACATTAAGAAGCGGTCTCATTCTATTAGCTTCGTCAATTGATTGCTGAACATATAATATATATAAATTTTCTGTTATTTCACACCATTTTGGGTTGCAATTGCCATAGCATCTTCAAAGTTTTCTTTTAAAGCTCTAGGACTTCCTACATAAGATGACGGCAAAACTACTACTCGTCCTGGTCTAATATTACGATCATTCGCAATGTTGTTCATGTAAGGCATCATACTGCTCGCTTCTCAGCTTATTTTGATTATTTCTGATAAAAGCAAGACGCTGGCCTTCAATTTTTACATATGCATCTACAGCATATTGCTGAAATAGTTTCTTGCCATAAAATAAAGAGCAGAAAAATTGCCTAACAGAAAGTTTATAATTGTAGAACTGAGATAATGTAACATGATTTCTCACCAGTGTGGCACGCTCAGGGTTATGCACTAACTGATTATGCCAACCAGCATCACTTCTTGTGAAAAAGAGTGGATAAACCATAGGATCTAAGTTGGCTGACATACTTGATACAATTTTTAAAGGATGACCTCTTGGGTAAATAACAACTTCCCTGGAAGTTGGGGGAGCACCATCTTCGCCAACAAATACAACTGCAACTTCATCATGTGAAGGTAGATTATAACGACGTCTATCACCGCCCTCAAGTAAAGACATTTTTACAACAGAAGCAGAGCGACCTTCTATAGCCGCCTTACGAATTTCTTTATCTTCTACTTCAGCCATGTTTTTAAATGCAAGAGCAAATGGACTTTGTTCCATAATTTTAGTTTGCAATTGAAACATTAAATCACGTAAACAAAGATCATTACCATGTTGTTGCATTCTAAAATTTAGTGCAGCAAGTGGATCATAAATATATAGTTGAGAATATATTGGTGGAATATCTTGATCTGGCCTAAGATTACCTACACGATGAAAAATCTGGCCACATATTTTAAAACATGGAAGCCCATGATTCATTGGTTGAACTACATTTGCTGTAAAAGAAGCCAAAGAAAGACAGGCATTATAATTTCGAATATGTTTTAATAAATTAGCATTAGCATTATGATCTACATAACTCCCTGTAAACAAATCCTGTAAAGCTTGTGTAATTGGTGAAAGTGGAGGCAGAGCTACCTTACCATTATGGCAACATAGAAAATGTGTTTCATCTGGAAATTTCTTAGCACCACAGTGCTGACAAATTTGATTCATTTCTCCTAAATAATTATAATCTGGAATAGCATTACTTCTCGCTATAGAATACATTTATCCTTGTCCAACAGCTCTTCTTTCATTTTGGCGACGATTAACATTATCTCGATCGAGCCTATTTCTTTCGTTTTGGTGACGAATAATGTTTTCTCGATTAATCCTATTTCTTTCATTTTGTAAATGATTAATTTCATCTCGCCTAAGTCTATTTCTTTCATTTCGTCTACAACTATTTTCAACACGCCTTATAGCACTTACATTATTTTATGAATACATAACTTCATCTAGTCTATCATTCAATTCAATGTCATCATTTTGATTAAACATATTTATCAAAGCAACACTAATTATTTCTTTTTTTTACTACTCTAAAGTTAACAATAAAATAAAAAAACTTAATAAATAACTAAAAAAATCTTACTCAAAAAATTAAAAAAAAATTCTCAAAACAAATATATAAAGAATCCAAACTAATGCAAAATAAAATTAATTTGCCATCGTCAGTAATACAAGTAATACAGGTTTCTTAAGTTTATTTGATAGAAGTTAAGAAAAACCTGCAACCATATTAGCAAAAACTTATTAAAATATTATATATGTTCTATATATATATATATATATATATATATATATATATATATATATATATATATATATATATATATATATATATATATATATATATATATATATATATATATATATATATATATATATATATATATATATATATATAGAACATATATATTTATATATATAGAACTATTTATTAGCGAAAACATATGAAAACCAAAATTTTTTATATAATATATATAGCATATTTGATAAATAAACCTCTACAATTTCCTTGGTTCAACAACTTGATTATGATTTTTTTTTTTTTTTTAATTATCTTACTTCTTTTACCTCCTCAAGGCCGAGAAGGCCACTACAGACGAGGAGGCTACTTATTTTGTGACTATAACCCTCTCAACTCTATAACTCTGAAACACGAACCTTGACAAACAAGGCCGCTGCGCGGAGAAACGAGTTGAGCGTGGTACTACCAGGGACGTGGTGGGGATCGAACTCGGAACCACTCGTTTATGAAGCGAGCGCTCTACCACTATACCACTACCGCATCAATAAATAACAACTCTGTAAATATAAATTTTCTAATGATCTAAATCTTTATAAATTAGATATTTTATTTTATATCTTAATTATAAATTAAATAAATTATATTTATCTTAACTATAAATTAAATCTTTATAAATTAGATATAAATAGAAAAACAAACATATAATAACACAATTAAATCCTAAACCAAAATTCAATCATGCAAGGCAAATTATTAAATTTTTTGAAAAGAAAAAAAACATATTTTTTTTCAAAGAGCCAAAGTATTAACAATGTTGTCATGGCTTTTATCCCAATTATTAAAAGCATTTGAAAGCATAAAACTACCCATAAATATCTTTTAATGGTAGACACCATCTAAGAATTATAGTAATCTATATTTTCAATATTAACATGTATAACACAAAGCTTTAAATTTAAAAGTACAATTTAAAAAAGATTACAATAAACTAATTACTTATAAAATTTTAAAAAGATTTTATATATGCTCAATGTCTACTTAGACATTTTGAAAAGATTACGATTTTGAAAACTTGAAACTTTAAATTTAAATTTTGAAAAACTGAAACTTTAATTCTACCTCAAAGAAAACAGATATATATTGAAAAGTATTTTTATTTTTTTTTAAAAATTTAAAAATGCTATTAAACTTACTCCCTCCAATTTTATTATATAATATATATAGTTTATATGATAAATAAACCTCCACAATTTCCTTGGTTTAACAACTCGATTATGATTAATAACAACTCTATAAACATGAATTTTCGAATAACCTAAATAAATTATAAATAATTAAACTTGAATAAAAGTGTATGCAAATGATAAATGCTATATTAACTACAGAAAGACAAACATAAAATAACACAATTAAATCCTAAACCAAAATTCATTCATGCAAGGCAAATTATTATATATTTATTGAAGAGCCAGAAACAATTTTTTTCAAAGAGCAAAAGTATTAACAATACTAAAGATAAATTTTATTTATAACAAAATTTTCAATAAAAATTAAATTAAAATAAATTTATAACAAAATGTTGTCATGGCTTTTATCCCAATAACTAAAACTATGTGAAAGCATGAAACTACCCATAAATATATTTTAACGCTAGACACAATCTAAGAATTAAAGTAATCTATAACACGAAGCTTTAAATTTAAAAGTACAATTTAAAAAAGATTACAATAAATTAATTACTTATAAAATTTAAAAAAGATTTTAGATTACCTATAATTTTAAGCTACTAAACATTATCTACTTAATGTCAACTTGGACATTTTGAACTCGTACCATGAAAGCTTGAAAGGAAATTTTTAAGAAAGCACGCTGTAAAGAAAAGTCTAGAAACTACTTAAAAAATGTATTTTGAAGATACATAACCGTATCGTAACTATAAAACAATACGCGTAACTATGCGCACTAATAATATTCACTGGAAGAGTTATATTTAGATTACAACAATAAAAACAGTTATTTATAACGAATTGTTAACATTTAATTAAAAGTTTTTCTCTCTCTTTGATAATTAAAAATTAATAATTTTTTCTGTAAGATATATATTTCATGCTTTAGAAATTAAAAATTAATAATTTTTCTGTAATGTATAAGTTTCATGCTTTAAAGATAGTGTTATATTCTGTTGTTTTATCTTGATATTCCATTTAATTAAACAGTCAACTTTATTATTATTCCAAATGTTTCAAATTATTCATTTTTTTCAAAGTTAACTTATGTTGGTTATGAATGTTTTAAAGTTAGATTTAAAGTTTTACAGTTAGCAATTATAATTTACATTTTATTGTTATTATTTTTGTTGTTAACTCTTGCTGCGAATGCAATATTTGAAATTAGTCAGTTATTCTCTTTGCATTAGTTTAATGAAGGGTAGGATTTCCCTATTGTATTAATTGAGTAAAACTACATAAACATTTGGTACAAAATCTAATATATTTGATATAACTTCAAAAACATTTTGTACAAAACCTAACATATCTGATAAAATATTTTTTTCTTTTTAATTTTAATTAAATGGTTATTTTGGTATCAGTTTAAATAATTATTAGTAATATAATTATAGTCAAAATTGAAAAACAAAATAGTTTTTTTTATTTTTTTATTAAAAAAAAAAGCGAAATTAGTTATTGCTAAGTAAGAGAATCAGTGTTGTGTACTATTTTAAAAATTAGATAGTATTCATGTCTATGAATTTGTTCATAAATATATTTATTTGTGTATTTTAATTTAATAGGACTCAGGAAATCTGTTAAAAGAGCTTGAAAAGAAATTGGATGAAGTTTCCAAGGTTTTTATAAATTATAATTGCTTTGAATTAATTTTAAGTTTTTTATATAGTTGTTTCTTTTGCAACACTTTTCAACACCATTGTTAATGAGTTTATACTTATTTTTTAATTATAGTTGTTTGTTATGCACTTTCATTTGTACTCTTTAAGTAATAATATAAGTAATGAAGTTTTTACTTTTATATTTTATTGAGCCTAAATAGTTTTTAATTAAATTAACAAATGATTTTAAATGACTTAACTTCTTTTATTTTTTTGTATTTTAAATGTAGATAGAAGTTAAGGCTTCCTCTGATGTAAAACATGCTAAAGACTCATTAAATTCTGAAGTAAAGAAAGTAAAGCAAAATGAAAAAAGCATATCTGAGGTACATTTTTAAGAAAGGCTCAATCACTTTTGTATTTATAAAAAGCAGAACACCATCCCCTTTTTTTTTTGTATCTTTTTTTAACTTAATGGATTATTTTAACTTTAGACATCTTATATATAGTTACATGGGTCAATTATATTATATATAATTACATATTAGTAACAAAATATTGTGATATTGCTGATCATTTGAGTTATGACTATAATATTATATTATTATTATAATTTCTTTTTATAATTAAATTTTGCTACCATATTAAACAAAATAAAGATGGCTTCAATAAAAGATTAAAACAAAACAAAGTTTCAAACGTTTAAGTTAAATAAGCAATAAATAAACAATGAAACTAAAGCTTCAATGTTTTAGGAGCAAAAATACTCAATTATGCCAAATTTTAATATACCAACTTTGTTATGCTATGACCATATAACACTCAAGCAATGCAAGAGGAAATGGTGAATAAAGATCTCTAATGAGGATCATTACTTTCTACTATTTTCTGTAACTTATTGAAAACAAATAAAGAGGTGTACATCAGAACCTTTATGACCTGTATTACGCCTCCGGATTTTTTACTATATTATAATAATAATTATATTGATATATTATTATAATTATTAAAAATTATCTTTGTTATAATAAATACAATAATGCAATAATGCTTATAGTTCACAACAATGTTTGCAATTACATTGTGTGTGGCCACAAAATATGAATGCCGAGGGACAGTTAAGTCACTGTATGTATGTATGTATGTATGTATGTATGTATGTATGTATGTATGTATGTATGTATGTATGTATGTATGTATGTATGTATGTATACGTTCTTTTTGGTAAAGTTTTAATACTTTTTGAAAAAAAAAATTTGCTGTAGATGCTTACATCTCAAATAAGTTGCAGCTTTTTTGTTGTGACTTCTTAAGGTTGATTTTTGGGCAACCAGCTGCCTTTTTTTTTTTCAATTATCAATAATTTCTTAGTTTCACACGCTTTTTCAACTCGGAAATAGATAATAAAATAATATATAAAATGAAATAATATATAAAATGAAATAATATATAAAATGAAATAGTATATATATATATATATATATATATATATATATATATATATATATATATATATATATATATATATATATATATATATACATATATATATACATATATATATATATATATATATATATATATATATATATATATATATATATATATATATGATATATATATATATATATATATATATATATATATATATATATATATATATATGTATATATATATATATATATATATATATATATATATATATGTATATATATATATATATATATATATATATATATATATGTATATATATATATATATATATATATTTATATTTATATATTTATATATAGTGTATATTGTAATACCCCAAATATGCTCAAAGCTAATATGTATGTATGTATCTGATATGTATGTATTATCTGTAGGTTTATATTTTGTGAGAATAGAAGATTTATTATCCACTACAAAAAATATTTAATTTCATTAGAATGAGGCTCAGTTGGCTACTAAAGAGAAAATGGTTGCTGATCTTCGAGTTGCACTTACTAAATTAGAACAAAATACTATAAATGATATGACTGCTGTTACAGAAGCTCAAAATCACTTCCATGCAGTTTCTGCTGGTTTATCAAGTAACAAAGATGGTGAAGACAAAACACTTACTGATCAATTAATGGGTGAATACTATGTCATTTTGTTAAATTTTAAAATATGTAATAGTTTTTAACCATGTTATAGAAGCATAATTTTTCTACATAGATTGCAAGAACATAATTAGCAAATCTGAAACAGAAGTGAAACAAGCACAAATTAAGCAAGTTCATATTCATTTTTCTCTTCGTTTAAAAGTGTTTTTATTAATGAAACAGCTGAGCTTACTAGATTTATAATGAATAATTTTAAGTGTTACTTCTAAAAAATGACCTAACTTTGTGTTTAGTTAATATTGATAATTGGTATATTAAAAATTATATTATTACAAATCTTACTTAAAAATTATTTAGATTAAAACATGAAGAAAGTGAACTCAAAAGTAAGAGTGTTGTTTTGAACACTACGGCAAAAGACTACGAAAGAGACAAATCATTATATGATTCACTTAACTCAGAGATAGATAAGTTAAAGGTAAATTTAAATATTCTTATAAGTAAAAGAATGAAAGTTAGATGTATATGAGATAATAATAAAGTTAGATATGTATGATATAAATAGACATGATATTAAGATTGTTAGAAACAAGAAATCAAATATATCTAACTAAAAATTAAATATTTTCAATTAAGTATGACTTTTTATATATAGGTGTATTTATTTCTCTTATTGTTTTAGGTGTAGTTTTACTAAACCTAAAAATTGGTTTAATATTTAAATTAAATAATATTTGAATGCAGGATACAAATCCATAAATTTCTCAATGTGTGTTTGTTATTCATAGTTATACAATATTACAATATTCTGAATGTGAAAACTCTACAAGTAGTTTTCATTTTGTATGTCTTTTTAAACTAATGAATTTTATTGTTTCAGATTCAATTGAACAAGTTAAACTATAAAGAAGGTCAGGATGAAAGTTTACTTCAAAAAAGGTAAATCATAATTGTTGGTTTTATTACAACAAAAACCTGTTGTTATACATTAGTATATTACATTTATTGCTCTCACCCTCACACATTCATCTACACACAAAAAAATCACCATGTCAAAATCATCAATCAATACTATAGCAAAATAAAGGAGGTGTTACTTTCTAGACACCAATTAGTAATAAAGTACACCCATTAAATGAAAGACTTCATTAAGTAAAATTTATAAAAAAAAAAAAAACACTTCAAATTTTTTTCTTTGTTCTCAAACTAAAATTAAAAGTATGTAAAACAGATTAGAAAAAAAGATTGATTGAAACTAACAATGGTAAAAAAAAAAAAATGGTAAAAATGCCAAAAAACTTACGAATAATATGATATGATTTTATGATGCAAAAAAGCTCAAAGCTGTTGATCTATCTTAATCAACAACAGCTACTTACCAATAAAGCAGCCAACTCCAAATCTAGCAAAGTATCAGGTGCTCTTCTAACAAATTTGTTACTTAATAACTTTTTAAGTCAGATATATACTGACCGATGCTTTAATTAAAAAAGAAAATGAATTTTTGGAACTTTTACTAATTGTTTCTAACTGTTGATTATATATAGGATGTCATTTTTATCAGATACCTGTTTTCATAAATTTTCAGCATTAGATATATAATATAACATAGATTATAATATTTTGAAATCTATTCATAGTGGTGATCGATTAATGTTAATTATTGCTTAACCACAAACAAAATTAAATAAACAACAACTATGGCTCCAACTCACTTTGCATCACAAAACTTACTTTCTTGGTTTCATTTCATATCACAATTAGCAAAATAAATGCCTTCAATGAAATCATAAACAATATTCCTTATACAAAGTTAGTTATTAAAAAAAAGAGTTTACAGAACTAGTTATTAAAGTGATTTCAATTTTTTGTATATCAAATTGTAAAAAAGATTTATAAATACCTTATGCACTGAAGCCAAACTTTAACTGAAAGCTAAATTCACAAACATTAGTAGTAGTCTTTACCTCAAATCAGCATTTTAAAACCCATTTTGATTCAATATGTCTGATTTAAAAAAAAAAGTTCTTAATCTTACTTTTGGCAAATTTGTTAATTTTACTAATAAGATTAGTGTCGGTCCACCTTAAAGTAATAAACCAAATGGTCGCTGCACTTGGTTTTGACATTGTCAATTGGCTAATGACTACATCAATTATGTTTGCTTCAACAATTTAAAATTTATAAAAATGTAAATACATTTAATTTAATGATTACCTTTCCAAACTGGTTTAGTTTGGCTTAATTACCTGTTAAACTTAGATCACCATTATAATTACCTTGCTACTGGCAACATGAAATCTAGTACAACTTGCTTTTTGCACTGCTGCCTTGTAGGATTTGCATTTCTAGATAAAGGCTAGCAAAAGTTAGTTCTGACCTTTAATTAAAGGTCAGATTTAATTAAAGGCTAGAAATGGTAACTCAATAAAAACATTCATGGGCAGGCTTTAAATGAATTCAGCTACTGTCTTGTAGAAGACCTCCTTAATAAGGTTAAGCAGAAAATTTTTGTCGACCTGGCTTACACCTATTGTTTATCTATTAGGCTGGCATAGATGTAAACCTGTGTTATTGTTATTTCCTGTCTTAATGTTGTAAATGCTAGATTTTCATGACACTACTTACGAGTTTTTACTTTGTTAATGGTTGTACAACTCTTTCTGTTATCCCCGTAATTTTAGATATTTTAGAGCGGTACAATTCTAAAACACAAAATAATTTTACAGCATAAACTTGAATATCTTTTTTGGAAGCGTGTGTGGTTTTTATTTTTTTAAAAATCGGGGTTGTGCAAATAACGACTCAATGATACCAACATAACGTTTTTACAATCTTCATATCTGGAGATTAACGCCTCTGCAAAATTAGAACTGATGTCAGTTTCTACAACCTTGAATTTCCTTACTAACGTTTCAATGATAATGTCACACTCCAAAATTGTTGTATTTGGTTTTTCTAAGCAAACTGCAGCGTCAGCAATGACTTCCAATAAGTCAGACAGCGATTTTAAGAAATTCAAGTCAATTTCATCTAACATGTTTAAGCAGTTTAGCTCTTCGAGTGTTTTTTTTTACAGCTTCTAAGCAATCCAAAAATCTTTTAATCATCTGAAAAACACTGTTTCATCTAGTTCAGTTGTCAAGCAAAAGTTCTTTGTCATGCAAAGATATGTATATTTCGTATATTTTGTGTATTTTTCTTTTAAGAACTTCATATCAAAACGATTAATATTTCAAAAACTTAATTAGTATTCGAAGTTTCTGTAGACTTTTTTCAATATTTTCTTTATACTCAATCTTATTTTCCAAATATCAATAAGAAACTCTCCTTCAGTCTCTCCATCAATTTCTGTTTCAATATCCGATTCAGTTTCTTTGTTCACAATTTCGCGACAATCTTTTTTAGCGTATATCAAATCACAAACACTCAAATCAATTGAATGATTCTGGCAGATCTGATGTGGAAACTTAGATATGGTATCCAATTTCACCATCCAACTACAGCCATCTGTAGTTGTACCTGAAATATATCACTATATCTTATATATTTTATATTTTATATTTTATACTTATATCACTATCTATACAAAATTTTTTTAATTTTCCATTATCAAAATGTTTAATATTTTAGCAGAACTAGGAGATGGCAATCTCACCATTCCTAAACAATACGTTCTGTTGTGATGAACATTTAAATTGTAATATCTTCTACCTCTATTGCGACAACATTTGTCACCTGTTAGTCCAAATTTTTCCCCTTTTGCTTTCAATGCAGCCAATTCAGTGATCATTAAATATTTGGCTTCAGCATGAAACATCTTAATTTTTTCTGAAATTGTAGACGCTGATTTGGGCAAACTATGCCCATAATTTTCAAAAAGCACTCTTAGTGTTTCAGATTGAGTTATGGACCTAATCAAATATCCATCAAGAGCTGTCAATTTGGCAAGAAGATAGTTTAACGACATCTTAGTCAAAACTGGTCTGAAACTGAATGGTTTCAAATCTATTTTCTCGCAACTTATGATGTGTCCAATTAGGCCGGTTGTGCTGCTTCCTGGACAAGCTATTCTTTCATGACATTTTTTGCTATCTCCATGTTTCTTATCATTTACCACAACTTTATCAAAGTAATTCCACACTTCCGAAACCATTTTTTTTCTATGAAAGAAAAATTATCAATTTGATTATGACCTCGCATATTTGTTTTTAATTTTATTTTAATTGTGAAAAGTTATCACATTTTAAGTTATTAGTTAAGTTATTTATTCTGATAGGTAAGTATAATTAACCATTAATTATTATTACTTGTTATCACTGATAACATTTTATTGCACAAGTTTGCCACAATGCACAGTGGGCCGTTTATTAGACTTATGGTGGACAAAACTATTTTGATCATACGATATACAACACTATTTGTATAAAATGAAAGTATTATATGTTTAAAACTTACCTCGTTATTTTACGACCAGTCTTTGTTTATATTGAAAATAATGATCTTGACTAAATATTTTTTTGTAAAGGTAAACTATTGAATAGTTAAAATATAAAAACTAATATCACATTCGCATAATATTTTAAAAGTTACTGTTTACTATATCTTTGCTTAAAAATTAAAAAATTCTTGCTTTTTATTATGCATTACATTTTATTATACCGCAATTGATTTTTGTGGATTTGAAAAAATACTAATACTAAAAAGATACTATTATACACAAAAGAGTTTTTGAAATAGTACAATGGAAAAGTATGAATATGTTTTATTATATAGTTTTGAATAGAATTATCATTTTTTGTGAAACAAGTTAGGTGTGATCATGGTGATGATAACACCTGCTGCTATAAATAGCTAATAATAGTTGGGTCATTCCATGCCAAGTGGTGCAAAGGTCCCTTATGGACCATCTCAGATTTTATTGAAATTTTTTGATTTTGTACATATATATGTTAAAAGCATGTTTTGAAAATTTTAGATCAATATATAATATGGTTCTTGAGAAAACGCTATTTAAGTAGTGGGCTATTATGCATAAAATTTCACTCTACAAGAAAAAAGATTTTTTTTGGCATTTTTATCAGCCAACAACTTTTGAACAAATTAGTTTCATGCTTCAGTTATTTTTAGTTAGCAAGTGTGCTGTGGATACATTAGGAAACAAAAAAAATTTCATTTCTGGCATCTTAACTTTTTCCATAATGGCGGTCTAAAGTTGAGATTTTTGTTTTTAAAATAGTTTTTTTTGTGATTTTAATGATCTTTATCTTGAAAACTAGTTAAAAAATTAATAAAAATCAAATTGCCTGCTAATCTACATGTGGTGGATAAACATTAAAAAAAAAATCAGTTGATTAAAGAGCTGCATTTAAAAGTTATAGGTCTCCAAAATGAGTCAGATCGAGATTTTTGTAAAATTGATCTGTGATGCAAAGCATCTGTTACCTAAGATGGCACTTTTTTTTTTTCATAAAATTTTTTATACGCATCAATTAAAGACTGTTAATTAATAAAAACCAAAAAAATTAATGGGCGCTTATTTATAACCCCAAAAGGTAGTCTCTAAAAGTCAGGTAAATTTTCCATAAAATTCTGAAATTGACATATTAAATAAATGCATTGAATTATATAATGTTATTTATTATGAAATATCAATTAAAAAATATTTTTTTTAATGAAAAACAAACAAAATGTTTTTAAGAAAATAAACAAAATTAATAAAATTTACAAAAAGTTAAATTTCTCAAATAATAAAATAATCTCATTGATTTCTTTTAAGTCAATACTATAAAATCTTCCACTGTTTGACTGGACTTTAAGAGATTGCACTTTGCATAAAATATGCATCAGAGGTACCCAACAAAGATCATCTCTGCATGGCCACGTGAACTTGTTACATAAAGACTTTTTCATGAATTTCATATTAAGATCTTGATGCTCTTCTGAAATACTAAGAATATTTCCTAAATACCATTGAGCATCGTAAACGCAGGCCACATATTCTCCTGGTGAGTAACTTGAAATTTTGTTAATAAAAATTCTGCAAGTAGAAAAATCCACATTAGTGCAAATAATATCAAATGAGACTCTTCTTATTTTTATTGAGGTAAGTGACATTGGGATAAAACTGTGGTGGTTCCGTGTCCCAGGTATTGTAGAACAAGAACAATATCTCTCTTCCAAATTGAAGTTTGTAGTATGTGTTTCTATTGAAACTTTGTCAACAAAAAAAAAAGATATTCCTTTGACATGTTGAACACACCAGCTGTACATTTTGCTTGGTGTGTCAATAGGATCGTTTAGTGATTGTAAACTGGCTCGTGCAACAAGACGTTTCACTGTTCCACCAACACCATCACAAGGGCTTTTACCATGCGATGTTGCAAAAAAGTGCCACTCTGCAGTCATGTCAAAATCGTGTTTATGGTAGCATAAGTTGATAAGATTTTTGTAATTTTTATATTGTGATGCAGCTCCATCACTAAAATAGATAATGTGTTCAAATGTTTGTAATTGTTTAAGTTTATCAATAACATTACCGATAAAGCAATGAACAGCATCTGTTCCATGTTTCAGATGATCTGATATAACACAATAACTTTGACTATCAAGTTTTCCATCTTTTTTTAAATACGCAACAAAGGGGTGCACAGTTGCTTGAATGTTATTCCAGTGAAAACCTTGCACTGCATCCTGTATTAGAAAACTATAGTTTTCCGCAAAGTCAAGAAGAACTAAAGCTTGATTTTCTTTTAAATTAGTTTTCAAATGTTGGTAGTAGGTGGCTTGACTTTTGGATATAAAATGATGCTCTCGTAAACTATTTAACTGTTCATAAACCATTTCAATAAATTCATCTAAAGGTAGAGTTGCTGGTACTAAAATACATTGGTAATTTGATTTTTGCCATTGATAAAAGTTAACTTCACTAATTTCATTTTCTGTAAACAAAGTGTCAATGTAGTCTAACAAAACCTTTTTAGCAGGACATTTATTGCAGCTATGCAGCATACAATCTCTATTTTCAATGCTACAAACCATTAATTTTAATAAGATTTTGTAATCAGCAATTCCAGGAATTTTCTGTACAAGGAGCTTTACATTTTGATGGTACTGGCAAACACAAACTGCATGCAGACCAGAAGCACCACCCACAGGAATGCACCACTTGGGCCTTAGCTCACAAAATTTTGAAAATCCAACTTTAAGATAATTATATTTCTTTTTAAACTCAATATGTAGCTCTTTCATATTGACTAGTAGAAGTCGCTTTTGGATATGTTGCTTTATACTATCTACTTTAACTGAAACAAACTCTTTTTTTCCTGGACAAACCCTTGAATATTCATCGCATTCATAGAAATGAACAACCTCTGTAATTACATCTTTGCTAAGTATTCTACCCAATTTTGGAGAAGGTTTTGATAGTATTCCACTTTTTTTCCTTAATTTTCTAGCTTGTACTACAGATCTTTTTGAAGTCACAAAAAACTTCTGAGTTTTCTCTATTGACCAACTGTCTGGAGTGAGTGTAAGAAGTGTGATTTTTTCAGAATTTGACAATGTTTTTTCAAATTTTGACTTAATTTGAGTCATAATATTGTCTAAATCTGTGTTTGTTTTTTTCAAACATTTTTTTGAGGGTGATTCAATTCCACCAAGTGCAGCTATTTCTAAACCTAGCACATTGGCAACAGCCTTTTGTGTATGAGCTCTTACGCTATCAATTTTACGCTTTCCATATGCAACTCTATCTTTTTTTGAAACAAGTTTGAGAGGTGAGCATCCAAAACTTGCAATACTTGAATTAAGATCTTCTTTTAATGTATGGTTGTCAACATAAATTTCTTTTTCTTGGACTTCAGTTTCTTTTGTATTATGTTTGCAATTCAGAACTTTTCTGCAACTAGTGCAAATTTTTTGACCAGGTATTAAACCGAAATCTTTGGCATATGAAAGACTGATAACTCTAAGAGAATCTAAAAAATAACGGAAATAATTATTAAATATTGTTTTTTTTATTTATTTAGGTATTTATTTAGGTATTTATTAGGTAGGTTATTAAGGTATTTTTATTAAATTAAGATTAAGATTAAGGTATTTTTATTAAATTAAGATATTAAATATTGAAACTTACTTTTCACTTTTTTTGCGTGCTTGTTCAACGGATTACAACAATACCTGCGATGTTCATTCTCATACCTTGACAAGTAAACTTTCTCGTGATAGCTACAAATAAAATCTATGGGATTTATTTTGCTTCTCAAAGAAATAAGCTCTTGGTTTAATGTAGACAGTTCTTGGTAGCGTTTACTTTTTTTAGATAGATAGCACTGTTCATTTAATGCTTTACCAATACAGCAAGTAGAAAGCTCAGGCATATTACTTATTATTAATTAGTTCTAAAATACAACAATTTATTTGGTTTTATTAGTACTTTTTATATTGACATACTAGTAATATAGAATTAAATGAAACAATAACTTAACTTTTAAAAAGTAATAATTTTTTATGGAAAATTTACCTGACTTTTAGAGACTACCTTTTGGGGGTTATAGATAAGTGCCCATTAATTTTTTTGGTTTTTATAAATTAACACTCTTTAATTGATGCGTATAAAAAGTTTTATGAAAAAAAAAAAATTGCCATCTTAGGTAACAGATGCTTTGCATCACAGATCAATTTTACAAAAATCTTGATTCGACTCATTTTGGAGACCTATAACTTTTAAATGCAGCTCTTTAATCAACTGATTTTTTTAAAAATGTTTATCCACCACATGTAGATCAGCAGGCAACTTGATTTTTATTAATCTTTTAATTAGTTTTCAAGATTAAGATCATTAAAATCACAAAAAAAACTATTTTAAAAACAAAAATCTCAACTTTAGCCCGCCATTATGGAAAAAGTTAAGATGCCAGAATTGAAATTTTTTTCTTTTTCCAAAGTATTTACAGCACACTTGCTATCTTATAATAACTGAAGTATAAAACTAAATTGTTCAAAAGTTATTGGCTGTTAAAAATGATGAAAAAAAACTCTTTTCTTGTAGAGTGAAATTTTATGCAAAATAGCCCACTACTTAAATAGCGTTTTCTCAAGAACCATATTAGATATTGATCTAAAATTTTCAAAACATGCTTTTAACATATATATGTACAAAATCAAAAAATTTCAATAAAATTTGAGATGGTCCATGAGGGACCTCGTTAAAATTTGCACCACTTGGCACGGAATGACCCAGTTGCTTTTGTTCATGCATGTTTATAAAAAAAAAATTATTTTGAATTTAGACGCCATTTACAAAGTGAAGTTTTAAAATATCAAAATGTTGTTGAAACTTTAGAGAGCAGGTTTGTAGTATCTTAATCTTAACCAGTTATTATAATATGTTTGACTAGTTATAATATTTTATTTTACATTTTGATAAATTTATTTATCATGAATTATATGTTTTATATTATAAAATTTATATTACAATATTTAAAAAATTAAAAGCACATTTAGCCAGCATTCTGATACCTGCACTTTTTTTTCTTTTTTTTTTTTTTTGCTCCTTTTTACACATATCTATTGTAACTACAATTTATGTTGTCAAAAAAATTCTATATATGGATATATTTTAAATTGAAAAAATATTCTTTTTTTGGTTTATTTTATCTTTAGGTTTAGAAAGACATAATGTCAGACATCAGTAGTTAAAATAATTTTGCAGCAAATTTCCAAACATGTAACGGGTCCATAATATTATCAAAAAAAAAAGTTCTTCAAAAGTAAATCATGTTGGGCCTCAAAAGTGAAATTTTATAAAAATTTTAAAAATAAACATCATTTTATTGATGAATTTTAAAAATAATCATCATTGTTTTAAAGTTCACTGCCTAAAAAATGACATTTTTAACTAAAATTAAAAATATGCATTTTTACAAAAACATTTTATTAAAATTTTTTTTTATCAATGTTCTTTATAAAATGATGATTATTTTTGAAATATAATTTTGGTTCTTTTAAGACCCAACGTGATATACTTTTGAAGAACTCTTGAAGTTTTGAAGATGGGTTTTGAAGATATTTTTTCAACATTTGTGTTTCTATTTTGCATACAAACATACATATTGGCATATTGGCATTTGCGCTAACCTCTAAAACTTTTGAATCACTTTCTATACAGTTGTTATCTGTTTTAGGTAGCTTTTTTCTATCAAGGACATTTAGTTTTATGCTCTAGTCATATAAATAATTATATAAATTGTAATAGTTATATAAATTAACATAAGTTATTATTTTAAATAAGTAAAGTAAAAATAATAAATAGATAAATCTGTTTTTTTATTTTCAGTTCTCCGAAATTTTTCATAAATTTAGTAGTTCCCATACTCCACAAGTAGTTTAAATTGTGCCGACTCATAACTGTTCCCGCAGTACAAAATAATCTTTTACTAAACACAAATTAAGTGAAGCTTCTTAAAATTTTCTTTCTTAGCATATAATAAAATAAAGATATAAATTTATAGTAAAAATGGCAAATAATAGTAAAAAAAATAGTAAACAATAGTAAAAAAAAAAGAATATTCCATCATAAACAAATTTATTTACTTGCTTTAACTATATAACATTTTCAAATTAAGTTAAACAAATCACAAGTGTATAAAGATCTGCTTTTTAACAAAAGTTTTTTATGGTAAACAATATAAGTTATTGATAATCAATACAACAAATATTAGTAAATATTACAAATCAAGTTTTATATTATAGTTAATTATAATTTGAAAAAAAACTATTATGTATTTTTTTTTTCCTAATTTATTTATTTAGCATTGACTAGATTTAGACCATTTTTTTTTCTATTTGTTAAAACTCAAAACATATTTTTTGTAGATTTCCACATTTACAATTTCAATACTCTGATCCGCAACCAAATTTTGACAAATTTAAGGTAAATTTTATTCATTTATTAATTTTAGTTATTAATCATTTATTAATTTTATTTATTAATCAGATTATAGTACTTAATATTTAGTAATATATATATATATATATATATATATATATATATATATATATATATATATATATATATATATATATATATATATATACATATATATATATATATATATATATATATATATATATATATATATATATATATATATATATATATATATATATATATATATATATATATACATATATATATATATATATATATATATATATATATATATATATATATATATATATATATATATATATATATATATATATATATATATATATATATATATTATGTTTATGTGCTTAATTGTTCTTTAAGAACAGAGAAATAGTATATCATTAAAAAATGACATCTTTTTATCTTCAGCTCTATGTTTCTTAATTTTTTGCAGTGTATTAGTATACAAGGTGCAGGGATTTTTGGGTAATTCTTAACCAAGAAGTTAATAATAATAATACTAGTAATAATAACAATTTAGAAATTAAGTTGTTAGTAAAATAATCATACATAACCAGTAACCATAGTAAGCATTTTGGTTTTATAAAACATTAACCTGTAGGATATAGATCATCTGCTTGTTTAAATTATATGTTTAACATATAATTAAACAGTACACTTCTTGTTTAAGAATTACCCAGAAATCCTTGCATTCCTTGATCAACAAATCAACTGGTTTGCTAATTATGTGTTGATGTTTTAAGTGTAATTATTGAAGTGATTTAATATATTTAAATAAGAATAATACCATTTTAAATGTCCTTAATATAAAAGGTATGCTTTTTAGGTCAAAGGTCTAGTTTGCAATTTAATCAAAGTAAAAGATATAAATTATGCTACAAGTTTGCAAGTTTCAGCTGGAAACAAGGTAAGTTTTATATGGTTTTGTGTGAGTGTACCAAATTCTCATTGTTTTCTAAAGATAAAAAAAAAAACTCTATTGCTAAAACTGGATCTTAAAAGAAGTAAACTTAACTTAAAAAGAAATGTAATTAGAAAGTTTTATATAATTTATAAAATAAATATTTTATTTCATATTTTATATTTTGATTTGATATTTTGTGCACGGTATTAGAAAATATAAAGTTGGCAATAAATTTCTGCCTTTAAACTATTTTTGGTAAGCATCAGGTTGGTACAAAATTTTAAACACAAAGGTTTCATCATAACAACATACATACTAGGTTGGCGAAAAATCTCTAACCTCAAACATTTTAAGCAGACAGCTAAGTTGCTAAATGTTGACCTAATTTCAGGGGCTGTGAGTTGATATATAATATAATATTTATACATAAAATGATATTAAATGTTAAGTTATCTATTTGGGGCATGAATTAAGTTTATATTTAGAAAATCTAATCAATATTTTTAAGTTATTTTTGTTTAGTTTTAAAAAAAAGCATCGACCTTTCATTGAAATTTTATGAATAAGTTGTTTTATTTATTATATCATCCGGTTTACATTTCTGCATATTACACTTGTCATAAAATTTAATTTTTGTTTTTGATTGAAAATGTGTTTTCCTAGCCTGTTTTGTCTTGGGTTGAAAGTGTGTTTTTCTAGCTAGTTTTGTCTTGGGGTTGAAAGTGTGTTTTCCTAACAAGTTTTGCTGAAAACAAATAGAAAATAGCTGTTATTCCACAAAAACTTTGCTTTAATGATATTTTAAAATTTAGTAAATATATATTGTAAAATTGATTATGACTTAAATGTGCAGATTTCGTAAAATTTCAATGATATATGTAGATGAATGTAACATTTCAATGATATGCAGAAGTGGAATCTCCTATTAGTTTCCTGTCGCCCTGCAATCAACTGTAATATTGTATATGTGTTACTTAAGTTTTGTCTGCTCGTGTGTGACGTGTGTTACTTGAGTTGTCTGCTATGATAATTAGTAGTCCAGTATTTTCAATTTTTTTGGTATTTTCTCTTGTGTGAAAAAATGTTTAAATTGACTACTAAAATACAACTTATAAAAACTGTTTAATTAAAAATAAGTTATTTAAAAAAAGTGAAATTGAGGATTAGGAAATTGTATAATAAAATAATAAAATGTTTTTTTATTTTTTTTTATGGTTTTCGTTTTTTTTTTAACAAAAAAAAAGTTACAAAATGTTAAAAAAATTTGTTACAAAATGTTAAATCAAATGTTAAAAACTGTTATTAAAATATTTTATATTTTAATAACAGCTGAGTTTTTTTTTATATTTAAATTTTTTTTTTTATATGTAGTTGCATAGAAATATTGAAACTTTAAATAAAGCTTTTAAAGATCATCATAAAATATTTAAACGGAAGTAGTCTTTAATTGCTTTGGAGCTGATTGCTTTTTTTTCCCGTGTGAATTTTATTCATTTTTATCCATGGTCTTTTTTTTGTGATACACCTGATTTAATCCCAAATTTTGGCTTGAGAAGCTAAATGTTGGGATTAAATCAGCCAAATGTTTAATTGATTGTTCAGGGTCAAATTTTTCTTAAGTAGGGTCATCAATATAAATTCTAAGCTTCAAACTTAGTAACTCCTTTTTTATATTTTTTAATGCGCTATAGCCCTTTATCTGCTGAACTAGGGGTGACAAAAAAAACAATCTGTTATCGAAAAAACATTTCAGGGTTAAATATTGAATTGATTTCAATTAGGGATGGCAAAAATCCGGAAATTTTTAATACCAGGATTTCGGGATTGACAAATTTGTTCTTGGGAAATCCCGGAATTGAATGGAAAAAAACGCTACTAAAAACGCTACTAAAAATGCAACGAATACTTTTTAAGAACTCATCAAACACTTAAAAATGATTAATTTAGTGATTATGTAACAAAAATATTTAATACATTAGGGGAGACCGGGGCTAGTTGGCCGCAGGGGTAAGTTGACGAATTGCGTTTATCTTTAAAGCCTTTCATCAGAAAGTGATAAAAATTACACAGAATCTTCCTAATTGACTGTTTCATCATTCAATGTAGTATTGTCAGGATTCGCGCATGCGCATGGGAGATATTAGGATTTAAGTGTTTTTTGGACAAAAACGTAACTTTTGAAACATCGCTTCCTTTTTACTTTACAAAGAAAATAGTTAGTCAAATGGAAAAAAAATTATTGTAAAAGTTCTAGCCACAATTGGTTTACTATATTCAGTTTGACTTTTTTTAAAAGTTGCCGTTTTTCAGGATCTATAGACTGTTTATTGAAAAAAAAGCCTTCGGGGTAAGTTGACAAAATTTTTACGGGGTAAGTTGGCTCATAGCATTTACTATGGAGAAAAATATTTATTTTTATAAAAATAATTTTTTTAATTTTTTTAATTTTTAACAATATTGAAAAAACTTATTCTTACAAAAAAATTATAAAAATTTTTTTTTTAGGTTTTTTGTAACAGGTAAAAAGAGGGCTGCTGTTTTGGCTGTTATACGTACTAATATTTAGCACAAGCTAAAAATAATATCAAATTATTAGCTTAAATTGTTGCCAAAATTAATAGGTAAAAAATTTCTATTAATTTTGCACTTAATAGTACATTAATAATCACGTTTATAGTTTGC